CCACAGTGGCTGTACAAGTTGGCACTCCCACCAGCAGTGGTGGAGTGTTGGTGCAGGGCTTTTTGTATAGGTGTCTGGAACACAATCTTGCTGAGTAGGAACCAACAATGGTAAAAGAACCTAACTGTAGAAAAAGCTTGCCCTGCTCTGGGTTACTACCCTTAGGTGTAGAAAAGTACCCTTGAGTCTATGCGTTGCCTGGAGTTCTTCCATTTTGTACAATTAACACTTGGTTCCATCTTTAAGAGCTCTTGCTGAGGCAGGGTAACTTACTGGTGAGTACACAACCACTAGACATTGAACACACACAGCTTATCACAAAGAATGTCCCCATCTGTGCAGCACAAAACACAAGGCATGGACTTATTTTCGAAAATAAAAAAGCATCATCTATGAACTTACCAAATTAAATCAGAACAAATGGGCATATCAAAACCATATCAGAGAAACCAGGGCCATGGGCTTAGCAGACACACCAAACCAAAGGTTGACGTAATTTCCCCACCTGAGTCATATACAAAGAGACATTGCTGGGTGTGGTGACACCTATAATCCCAGGATTTAGGCGTGTGAGGGAGAATTGCAAGTCTGAAGCCAACAAGGCTACAGGGTAAAACCCTAGCTCAAAAACAGGAGGAGCTTGCACTGGGGCTTGCAAGCCAGTCATTCAGTCACTCTGTGTTCCTCACTGGATGGAGTCCTGATTCTGCCTCTGTGGCTTCAGCTCAGCTCATCACCCTGCCTGCCTTGCCCTCTAGAACTACATAGTTGTCTAGACCTAATGTCTGCACCTAGGCGGCCTAGTCCCTGAATAGCATTTTGATGTTTTTTTTTGACACCTAGCCATCAGTAGTGACGCTAGATCTATGTCAGCTGTCTGCTTTTGCCTGTAATGGGGCCTTTCTGAAACCTGTGATTCTCATGGCCTTTTCTTAGTAGTTGTAGAATCTACCTAATCTTGTGTGGCATGAAATGTGTGATCTGAGAGTCAGTAATATTAGTAACTAAGATTGGAGTGGAATAAGAGAAAATGATTGTTCAGTGGTTCTGTTCCAAATGAAACAAGACTACTTGGTTCCTTGAAGCTAATGAAATGGACATAGCTATGGATTTATTGTTATTCAATAAATTCTGACGTTGAAGAAAGATACAAACATGTTTGTGACATAGCTTGCTTATTAAATTTAACCCCATTGACCAATATGAGATAAACTTTAAGTCATTAAGTTCCTCGGTCCTGGACATGCAAGGGCTAGCACTAGCAATGACCAAAACATACTCATTTTGACAGGGATTTGTATACTTCAGAAAAATTTAGCTAACTTGTCAGTTTCCAGAAAATGAAACACAGGCTCATTCGGACCTGGGTGAAAGTCCCAACTTAACAACATACTAACAATGGCTTTTAAAAAATAGGATCTCACTGTGTAGTCTCAGCTGGCCTCAAGCTTGTAATGCTTCTGCTTCAGCCTTCTTACTGGGGTTCAGATGTGTGCCACCATGCTTGACGGTCACTCTTTTTTTTTTTTTTTTCATGTATGAGACATGGGTACCAGCTGAGGTGGATGAGGAACCCTGTTTAGAATTAGCCTCATGCCTGGCATAAAAAGTGTAGCTTTTGTGTGACAAGGCAGACTTGTCCTCCTTGGAGCTTACATGGTAAGTACATGTACCTATTAAACCAATTACTAATAGACATGATGGCTGGTATAAATGCTATAACCTAGGAAGTAGGGGCCAATGAGAGGCTCAGCTTGCTGGGCTGGCTGAGTGACCTGAGTTGAATTCACAGAGCCCACTTGGTGGAACAACTCCTGGGAGTTGTTCTCTGACTTCCACACACAAGTTGAGACAAGTTATAGCCCCACCCTGCACAAAATGAATAAATGTTAAAACAAGAAAAAAAAAAAAAACCCTGGGAGACTGGAGAGATGGCTCAGCAGTTAAGAATACTTGTGGCTCTCGCTGAGGACCTGGCTTCAGTTAGTTCCCAGTGCACACATGGTCCACCCATAACATAAAAATAATTAAACAAAATTTAAAAACTAGGAAACAGCAGAGATCAAATAGACATTTTTTCCCTTGTAAGTAGGAAACTTGCTATAAAAGCAGGTGAGTTTTAAGACAGAAAAAGAATTGCATTTTGTACATATTGAACTCATTCTCCTGAGAGTTCAGGAATAATTTGTGTGTGGGATAGAATCACACAGGTAATTTAAGGGAATGTATAGCAGAGTGGAAAATGCACTTTCAAACTCTTTATCCTGGGGCCACTATTAGATTCTGCTTGCAGGGACTTCCCTTGTTCTGATCCACTTTGAAGCAATTTGAATTTTGAAGATGAGAAAAAAGGCTGGATTTTTATTTTACTTTTGCCCCTCAGCGCTGGGAATGGAGCCAGGGCTTTGATAAGGGTGGACCCTCTGAGCGTCTCTGTGGTACTGGGGATTGACCAGAGCCTTGAACAAGATAGACAAACACACATGCAGGCAACACACAAACAAATAAAGTAATCTTGAATTTTCTCAGTCACAAAATAGATTTAGCTTTTAGAAAAGTTTATTGGTACTTGATTAAAGTACCGAATTAAGAGTCAAGTTGAGGGATGGTGAAGTGGCTCAAACATGAAAGTTTGTCACCAAGGTCATGACCTGAGTCCCATCTCCAGGACTCATACAAGTTGTCTCTGACTCCCACACTTGTACTAAGGCCTGTGTACGCACATGCACATAAAGGGAAGGGAGGGAGGGAGAGAGGGAGGAAGGGAGGGAGAAAATCACCTTGAAATAAACTTGCTGTTAATAAAGAGACCAGTTGGTAAACCAACTCCATATCCTCCCTCTTTCGAAAGAAGGGACACACATATCCCTGCCCTGTCCTTTCCCTGGGGGCTGTTCAGTGCAGTGACTCACAGCCCAGGCCTTGTTGGAGCACTCTCGTAAAGCTGCATTTTGTGGGGCTGGAGAGATGGGTCGTGGTTAAGAACTGCTCTTCCCGAGGACCTAGTTTTTTGATTTCCAGCGTCCATATGGCAGCTCACTGCTGTCTGTAACTCCAGTCCCAGGGCTCTGAAGCCCTTTGCCAGCCTCCTTGGACACTAGACACACATGAGGTGCACAGAAATACATGCAGACAAAACATCCATGCACATAAAGACTGTATTTTGGCATGGCAGTCACTTATAAAAAAATCATGAACTGGATACAGTTTTCTTCCGTGTATTCAACACTTTGTAAGGATCATACAGAGAAACAGAATACAAACATTAAGAAACGTTTCAAAGAATGCATTCTATATTTTTTATAAAGAGCTAGGTTGTGGTAGCTGTTTTTAAAGGCGTTAAAACTACCCAGTCCATTTCTTTCTTTTTATGGGAATACAAATTTTGAGAATTTAAATGTCCTGTTTAGATGACACACAGGCAGACGCTAAGTAATTGAGCCCTCTCTGGAGCCAGCTCAAGGGCAGGTGCTCAGGTCTATGTGGTATAAAGGACTGGTAGCTTCCAGGCTTCTTTTGATTCAAACTCTAGTTGTAATAAGGTGGTTGGTAAACACTTACTTGAACAGTGCAATGAATATTAATCAAAATAAAACTTTGTAAATCCTGATACATAAGCAACAGGATTATTACAACAAGATATGAACAATGAAAGTAAAACAAACCGCTGCCCCAAGTGCAACTGTAGCAATGGCTCCTTGTTTTTGGTTTGTTTTATCTTTTATCCCCCACACTGTGAGACCGCTCTGTATCCCAAGCTAGCTCATGTATCCCATGCTGTCCTTGAATTTGAGGTGAAGGACCAAAAATTCAAATTAATAAAAGTTTAAAAACTTAGGGAACTCTAATGATAAAGGAAATTTAACTCCTTAAATCAGGAGTGCCATGACTGGAGCCTGATCCCCTGCTCTCAGAGAAAGAGAGGTAACTGTCCAACACTCTGGTCAACATTCCTTTGCTAATTGCTGGTCATAAAGATCTCCCAGCCCTGGGGATAACTGACAGACCCAGTGACTCTGTAACCCTGCAAGCCCAGGCCCTGTCTTATCTCAGTCAAATGTATCTCCCTTAAAATGTATAGTTACTAACTAACTCTGTACTTTGTATGACCTTAAGTAACCATGGAAACTCAGTAATTTATGGCCTCCAACGTTATGGTCTGCCTTTTTAAAAAGTTTCTCTTTTGGCTGGGTGGCATCTCATTTGCCCACTATGCAATGAGATCCTGAAGGACCCCAGCCTAAGATGTTTTCTTTGCAGATACATGAGAACCTGAACTTATGACCTTAACAGGAAAGAGCAGTTGAGATTGAAGAATTCCACCCTAACAAATGGTTCCCAGAGACAGAGATGTAACTGCCCTGAATGACCCATGATCCTGGAGATTGCGCTCACTTGGAGATTGCGGTTGGCCACCTGGAACGAGCTAATCAGAACTGTTACCCTCGCTCACCCCAGACCCCATCTGTTTGCAGTTTTTGCCTTTAAGAAGCCCCTAGTCCACAGCTCGGGGTCCAGCTTCTCTGCTCCTGCGTGAGTAACGTGCTGGGTCCCGGTGCACCGGTTGCTGAATAATAAAGCCTCTTGCTGTTTGCATCAAGTTCTTGCCTCTGACTGGTGACTGGGATTGCTGCTCCCGAGAGGTCACCCCAGGATCTCACCCTGTGGGGTCTTTCAGGGGGCAATCTTCCAGCCTCAACCTCCCAAGCGTTGAGGTTGCAGACATACACCACCAGGCCCAGCTCTGGTCTGTTGAAATAGGGCTGTTCGAGTGGTAATGTTGAGTGACTGCAGTCCCCCTGAGTCAGTCATCCACTGGAGCCTGTCACTGCAGTCCAGTGTGCCTTTATTCTTTTCTGTACCACTTAAACTCTGTTTTAAGCTGATGGGCATGGAATGTGGAATTTGTTCCATAGTGAGGTGGTGATGTTCTCATGGCAGGGTGAATAACCCCACCCTTGTTCTGGGCCCCTGAGGCCTGCTGAGTTGATCAGGGACAGCTTCTGTCTGTGCCGGTCCATGCACGTGAGGCCTGTCACTCGCTGGTGTAGTAGTGGCCCTCCTGCTAGGCTGTGAGCCGCAGTGGTGGTGGTCAGCATCTGATACTTAATGTGGTCCAGAAGGTTTGTGTTAGGATAAATCTTTCCACCAAATCCCCTGAGCCCCACCGCCACGTGTGAGCTTTACGCCAGCCGCCCACCCGAGTTAGGCCCAAATGAATACACAGAAACTTGTATTAGGTTCAAAGCTGCTTGGCCAATGACTAGGATTCTCATCTGCTAGCTCAGTCTCAATTATCATACATCTATATATTTTATAAGACTTATCTTATCGGACGCCTTATTGGTGTCCCTCCTTGCTGGTGGCTCACATTGTGTTGCTGGAGCAGGAGCAGAGGGGAAAAGAGGGACGCGTCCTGTTTCTCCTTTTCATAAATATGAGTCTCCTTGCTATGTCACTTCCTGCCTGGATCACCATTTCTCTACTACATTTCCCAGAATCCTCTTTGACTCCTAGTCCTAACTTGCTGTCTCATTGGCCAAACAGTATTTTATTTAACAATAAGATAAACATACACAGTACATTCCCCATCAGGTTTGGGCTTTCCCTGCGGAGTTAGAGATGGAATCTGGGGCCTTGCCCATGCCGAGCAAGCACAGGACCACTGAGCACCCAGCACCCAGAAGACGCTATAGGGGTCTGCTGTGCTTGACTCCACATGGCGTTACAACAGTGACAGACAGACACCTATCATGGTGCAGATGGAATGGAGAGGAAACAGAGGAGGTGCATCACCACGTTGGCCTTACTGTAAGTAATTATGGTTTTTGTTTTTTCAAGACAGGGGTTCTCTGTGAATTTTCCAGCGGTTCCAGTAACCGGGAGCTCCAGCTCCTGTTTGCTGATTTGCTATTGAATATCATGACCTCAGTGGGGGGAATGTCCCCTAGTTTGCATCTCTACAGAACTAAGCATTTGAATAGGCCTGCACCAGGGTGGAGAGCCAGGTGTGTAAGTAACCAGTGAGGAGAGAGAGTTAGAGAGGGGTCGACAGCAGGAGAGAATAACAGCCTCGTGGCTAGGGAAGCATGGTTAGGAACAGCCAGGAAGGTGCTGAATAAAGAACAGACTCCAGTCTGCAGCATGGAACTGAGAGCTCTCTAAAGATGACAAGATGCCTGTGTTTGGTCTTTATCCCCCTTGGGTTGCTAGGAGTTTCCAAGTCAACACTCCCCCACACAGGCTGAACCTCATGGCTAATGTGGCTTGGGGCAGAGACATGCCGGGCCATGACAGTTTTTAAAAACTTATATTCATGTATTTGTGTGTGTGTGTGTGTGTGTGTGTGTGTGTGTGTGTGTGTGTGTGTACCATGTGTCTTCTGGGTATGGGACGTGGGTCATCAGGCATGGTTGCAAACACCTTTACTCCCTGACCCATTTCACAGGCTCCTTCCTGTAAATTATTTCAGCTCACCTATGTGCTTGTAGACAGAAAGGTAACACAGAGGCACCCACCAAGCCTGCTCTTGTCCCTTCTTGAGACTCCCCATTGTTCATGCACCAAGCAGCTCTTACATGAGGTCCTAGGGAAAGAGGCCTCTGAGTTCAGTTGTTCATTTAGTCTTAAAGTGTCATTGTCTTGTTCTCAGTACCATTCATTCATTCATTTATTCATTCATTCATTTATTCTATATGTCTTTTACATCATGCATCTTCTGTCTGCATGTATGCCTGCAGCCCAGAAGAGGGCACCAGGTCTCATTACAGATGGTTGTGAGCCACCATGTGGTTGCTGGGAATTGAACTCAGGACTTCTGAAAGATCAGCCAGTGCTCTTAACTCCTGAACCGTCTCTCCAGCCTGACATCATGCATCTTGATCCCATTCATTTCCTTGTCCCTTCGGATCTGCCTGCCACCCCTGCACCTCCTCCCAAATAAAATAAAATTTAAGAGAAAAAAGGAAAAAATAAAGGGAAAAACTTAAAAAATCTCATCATGGAAACTACTGTGTGACACAGAGTCACACTGTAAATCCCCTTATCCATATAACCTTTACCTGAAAGTGTTCATTGCAAAGGGTCATTGGTCTAGTTAGGGGCCTCTGGTTTCTACTATACCACGCATGTTGGGCCCTTCCTAGGGCTCCTCCTGGACATCCTGCTGCCGCTCTGTGTTGTGGAGATCCTGCAGCATGGGGTCTGCAGGTCAGGCTCCTTCAAGTGTTCCAGCAGATCATAGACGGGGTGTATGTTGGGGTAGGCCAAGTCAGAACCCTGGTTCTGGGCCTGGACAGCTGCAGGGTTGGTCTAACAGATGTGAAATGGGGACAGCTTTCCCATGCTCACAACTTGGGGACTGGCTCACCCAGTAGAGCCAACCCTGTTAGTTCTGGTGTGGGTGGGCCGGCCCCAAAATTGGGAGCATGGGAACACTGTCCCCATTGCTCGTCTGTCTTGTGAATGCATGGGCAGAGGAGTAAGGCTCCTCCCACCATCAACACCTTTAAAAGCAGATTTAAGTGTGTGTCAGACCTTTTGAGAAAACTGTACCTGACCATCATCAGTGATTAGGAATGCAGACATACAGACAGTTCAGATGCTAGACTCTAAACTTAGGACTCAGTAACTTCCTAGAACTAATTCAGTCAGGTTAGGTTGAAGGAATGGATCTATAGACACAGAAAAGAAAGTGCAAGTGCTCTGGGTGGAATTTCAGGAAGTTGTCACAGTACAGGGGACATTGTCAAAAGTCACCTACTCCATGGCCATCCCACCCTGACTGTGCTCAGTCTTAGAAAAGACTCTGGAAGGGCAGCTCTTAGAAGGGGTCTGGGGACTGAATGCAGAGATGGAGAGGGTGTCTCTTACAAAGCAACCTGCCTAGAGAATGGTGGGAACCATGAGAAGGTAGCTGTGTCTTGGAGCCTGTGAGCGGGAAAGGAAACCACGATGATAAAAGCAGAGTCCTAGTCATGGAGAGCAGGCTTGAGTCACAGTCAGGAGGACTTTGCTTTACATTATTATTAAAGATTGTGGATAGTGTTGACTGAGGTGATGCACTCTGCAATCTTAGTACTGTGGGGTTAGACTTTAAAGCCACCCTAAGTTTTGAGCAAGTTTTGAGGCCAGTCTGCGCTACATGAGACCCTTTCTGAAAAATACCAGGGAGGCTGGCAGGTATATCAGTTGGTCGACTGCTTGGCTAGCATGCCCAAAGTCCTGGGTTCAGTCTCCAGCATGGCATAAACTGGGTGTGGTGGTGCATATGTCTAATCCCAGCACTCAAGAGGGAGAGACAGCAGAAGTCCAAAGTCATCCTTGACCACACAGCAAGTTTCAGGAATGCCACCCTGGCCCACCTCCTAAAACGGAGAGTATTTTCTCTTGAAGGTCAAGGTAGCCAAGCAGGATATTGACAAGAACAGAGAACATTTACAGTTCTTGGCAGAGGAGTAAAATGGGCTGGAAATGAAATGTCTGCCTGGGTCTGTTCCAACAGTACAAGGTCCACAGACTGAGTTTGCTTTGCTGCTTCTGAGCTAAATGATTTGGGAGGAGCTTACATACCTCTTCCTTCATCTGTGATAGGATGCTCCTGACCGATCTCTAAGAGTAGGTAGTAAATAACAGCAAAGTCCTAATGTAGTCTGGTGTACCGTAAGCGATGCATAAGCAACCATCATGACATTTCTGCCCCCTCAGTGTGTGTGTATTCCTTTAGGTCCTACCTAGCTAACCTACAAATACAATATTGATTACTCAAGAGATGCATAGGAACTGTCAATACAGGATGCTCATAAGCAGTTTGGTATACTAGCAGAGAAGTGAAGAAAAGGTAGACTTTATCTCTAGTTTACATAATTTCTTACTTTTCAGTCAACCATGTAAAAAAAAAAGTTTCCATTAGTAGCCAAAAAGGCAGTAGGATTTATGTGTTTATGTAACCAGGAACAAAAATATTATACTTTAAATATTTTAGTCTTGAGTTGATTTATTCACTGACGTATTTAGCACAATTTGTTATTATTCAAGACAGTAGAGCATCTAGTAAGTGCCAGTGAGGAAAAAATGTGGCGTTTGGGGTCACTTGGGACTCAGGATTGCTGCTGTTTATGTTAATTTTCCTTTGAGTTTGGTGGTGCAATTTTATGGCCTTCTTGGGAGGTGGGGTCAGGGAAATGGGAAGTTCAAGGCCTTCCTGGGTGCTGAGACACTATTTCAAAATTTAAAAAAGTGTGCCAGTGAGACCACAAAAACCTGGCAACCTGACTTAGATCCCCGAACCAATGTAAAGGTGGGAGAAGGGAAATAGCCTCATAGCGTTGCCCCCTGACCTTCACATGTGCGCCTTGGCACATGTACACACGCACATTACATATGCACAGACATACACACACCAATAACAAAGTCTTAAAACTAAGCTATAGTCAGGAGGGTGGGAATATATATAGTTCAGCTATGGAGTGCTTGGCTAGTGATCCACAAAGCTCACATTTGACACTCAGTACTATAAAAATTTCTGTAATTTTACATCACACACATATATTTTGTCATTATTTTTCCCAGTAGATGGCAAGTAGGCAGAGTTTTCTCCTT